TAAGGACTTGTGTCGCTAAAGTTTAGTCGGAAAGAATTTACGGAAAATTAACTAACGAACGGAGGCGTAACGATATGTATCAGACATAAGGTTTTTTAATTAAAGTATGTTATTTTAATATGTTTGTTGGTAGTTAGTTTATTTTATAATAAATCTACACATTGAACTATCTGTGCTGCTCTGTCCACCGCGGATAATCGAGCCCCGAATTTTGGTATTGTAAATCTGTAAACTTCCACTGGGCATTTTAATATGAAATTTGTTTGATCGTTTTAGCGCAAAAATAAAGAGTGGATTAGTTACGTTATATCCGTTGCGGAAATCGAAACCAATTTTTAGTTCTAGGAGCTTTTAAGCTTACTTCTGAGATAAAGAAGGAGATTAGTAACAACAACAAAAATACAAGCCTGCTTGCTGGTTTTAGTTAAGAAGAACCACATCATTATAAAAGAAACTTGAAGTTTTTTTTGAATATCAACTCTCATCTGTTAAATTATGTTGATATTCGAGAAGATTTATGACCAGGAAATAGGTGTAATAAAAGTTTTATTTAGAATCTGACCTTTATATTCATTACGTTAGAGAAAAATATTTAAGACTTTTGTTTTTTCTGTTAGATTTAGCAGTATAGTTAGTTATATGTGTTTTCTGTGGTTGTAACAACTCGCTAGGTAGAGCTACACAAGGTTTCGGCTTGAACTTTTAAGTTGAAAGAACATGGAACTTACGAGCGTGGAATTAGTAAGTAACTATATTGATAATATATACTCTTTATATGATATTCTATCTCTATGCATGAAAGAATATTGTCTAATTACTTTAAATTCTTGTGATATTTGTATAATTTATCTCTAGCATGAAAGATATTTAAAAATGTAGCATGTAAACTGTAATAAGTTCTTATAATTCTTTGTAAGCGCAGTTTTTCTAACCTCGATGTCCGAGCTAAGTCATGGTAGTGGTAGCACTAGTAGTAATAGTATTAGTACTGATATAAATAGTACTACAGACTAGTACAGTACACTGTACAGTGGTACTATTAGTACTAATATAAATAGTTCTACAGACTAGTACAGTACACTGTACAGTGGTACTATTAGTACTAGTAGCGTATTTGTAATTAACTTTTACTTTAGTACTATTACTATATCTTGAAATAATGTACTTAAGTAGTGACAGTGTTTTTCATGACTAAGATTAGAACTGTTCTGTGTTAAGTAACACGAACAGTAACTTAAGTTTTTGTTCCCGTGTTAATTAAAGTGACCAGATTTTCTGGAGTCCAAAGCGGGACACCTAACTGATGAATAAAAATTTGGTTGGATTAAAAAATTAAAACTTCATGAAAAATGCATACCATCTTATTATTACACTTTTCATTAGATATTATTTTCTTTAACAAATCAGGAGTGCATTTTGTAAACATGCAATAGAAAAGAATTACATTCCTGAAAAATACCATCTAATAATTACTAATAATGGCTGGAGACGGCTTGAATGGGTACTGAAGAAAAACTTTAATATAACAGCAAATGTACAACATTTCGACAAGATTTTGTCATCATCAGGTACAAGTAATTTACACTGACACGGATATATATATACAGTATTGAACAAAGAAGTCACATGACCGGAACTGTTGTGAAACTTAGAAGAGGTATCTAGGCACCCCGGGGTGTTGGTTTAGATACCAGCCATTATTAGTCTCAAAGTGGGTCCCTCGTCATCGAATCTAATAATTACATTTTATGAGACAATAGACAAGGTCATTTCATATTATCACATTCTTGATACAATTATATATGATTATCTATGTATTTTAATGTTAACATATGGATATGAAGGATATTATACAAGGACAGGACAAATCTTGTGTGCAGTCATTGTACGGTAGTGCTTATCAGTATTAATTTTGATAATGCAGAACATTTAAGTTCATCATCTCCCAAAGCAGAACATTTTCATGTCCCCTAAAGTTTCTGGGAGAAAGTGGGACAGGTGAGCTCAGAAATGAAACTGTCCCACCAAAATCGGGATGTCTGGTCACATTAGTGTTAGTGTGTGTTGGACAGCTACCACTACTAGTACTAGGATGATTCCTGGTATTGAAGGATTATCTTGTAGGGGTAGGTTAAGATATCATTTTATTTTTCCTTGACAAAAGAAGAGTAAGCTTAAGAGATGATCTTTTTTAAGTTTACAAGATTATCTGGGCGAGCAATAGGATTCAGGCTTCTAATTTTTTAGTGCTATATTCTGATGATAATACTTAATAGGGTCAGAGGACACAAGATTTAGGGAAAGACAGGCTAGGCTCCAGTTAAAACAGTTTTATTTTTCTAACATGGTAATTAATTTATGGAATAAATTGCTATCAGCAGTAGTAGAAGCCAGTACATTACAAGAGTTTAAGAATGAAATAGTTTACTGAAAAATAAAGGTTAGATTTAATATTTTACTTTTTAATGGGATATGCAGAGACATTCATGAAGGCTTAAAAGGTCCTTTTTTTTTGCATTTTATGCAGTAAAACCTCAGAGACAAGATCTAAATGTAAGGCTACCCAAACTTTAATATTACAAATTACAACATTTCAGATCTATAGTTTATTTGATGTCTGCAATAAAATTTGAATAAACAGGTGATAGCCTGAGGTTGATTATGTCCTCAGGTCTTTTCAAGTTTGAGTTGCACCTGAGAAAGATTAACACTGGATGTATAAAAGAGTGATTTTCATATTAAGATTAAAATACTTTTCTTCATCTCAAAAATCTCCTAACTACATTTCAAATGTGTTTTCAGTAAAACTCTATATTTTATCTGTTATTTTCTCCACCATAACTCTATACTAGGTTGGTCAATTTGACTGGCCTCATAACCCTTCCCCCAAATCAAAATCAATCTAAATTACCCACTTTTTTTCTTTCTAGAATGACTTCAAATATAGCATGAAACTACATTCACTTATCCTAAGTAGCTTTATACTCATAAAAATATACATCTACTTATAATTAAAATTTACTGTTTTATTGCCCTTTGAACCATGTCTAACTACTGTTTTTGCCTTTATAAGTTGTAAACCCACGGGGAACATGCAGCTCATGTTACACTATCAAATTACATTACCCACGAGCTGCTTATATCCATGCCTTGTGAAACATTTTAATTATAATATTATTATTATTTATTTTACCTAATCTAATCTTAACTAACCTAAAAAGATCCTTATTTTACATTTTAGTTACTTTTATAATAATAAATAAAGAATAAACATGTAAAAATAAGAAATAAAGTACTTACCCAATCTTCTTTTTTCTTGCTCTTAATTGTCGATCGAACTTAACCCTACTTTCTTCTACTAGTGATAATAATGCACTAAATAATTTTGATTTAATTAAATAATGCACCACAGAATATAGACTAATAACATGCAAAAAGTATACAATTTACCTGACTCTCAATATTTTTCTCGCTTTCTAACTATGCGACAAGAACTGCTACAAGATCAACCAAGCTAGTCATTAAGTTTCCCACGGGAATGAACCATGTATTATAAGTGAAATTGATGCTCATCTGTTCAGAACATGTTATACAATATGTCATTTGAGAGATGAAAACCTTCACTTTCTATTGGTTATAGGTAATATATAATTAAGAGAGAGAACTATTAACAAATATTGTAAGAGAGGATGTGACAGGTGAGGTCTGATTTTCTATTTGATAGCTCTGTAGCCAAACAAAATTGATGGCATTTCTTTTCGTAGTTATTGTAGGGGTGGTGGATAAAATAGAAAAGATACCTAGAGAAAATGTGTCACGTGTCACACCAGAGGAAATTTTTGATTTTTTTATATATTGCCTTGTAGTATTAAGAACTTAAAACTTGTATACTATTAAAATATGGATTATTAGCTAAGATTCTATGCTATACTAATCAGTATAACATAAAAAAAGAATAGTTTATTAAAATTTTGAATGTAAGTCACTAAAACCTTGTGTCATGTGCAGTATAGGATACCTGTGGCAATAGGGTCAATGCATGTTTGCATGAAACATCAGGCACAAAGCCACCTGCCTCAGTAATTAATGGTTGGATGGGAAAAAAAAACAATGCAGCAGTAAACTGTTGAAAAACATGTAACATTCAACTGAATACATATGCACATATGTAGTTTAAAATCTGTTCCTCATAAATGTACGTAAAAAACATAAGAAACAAGATTAGTAAATATTGTTAATTTCAAAAGGAGGAATAGGAATCATCAAAAAAGTATGGAAACAAGTTGAATCAAATGCAAAAATTTATTTTCAAGCCTACAACTCATTCATTCTAGGCTGTGTCCACCCACTGCAAGGCATAGCCCTCTGTCAAAGACGTCCATGTATGTCTATCTGCTGCTTTCCATGGCCATGTGATGCCCTCTTTCTCTATGATGTAATCATGCCATCTTTTGTGTGGTCTATCTTTTGATCTCTTCCCTCTATGGGGCTGCCATTCTGTGATTCTGTTCATACACCTGTTGCCTTTTAATCGAACAATGTGTTCGGCCCATTTCCATTTTGATTCTGCAATATTCTTGGAAATGTCTCTTACCTCGGTATTTCTTCTGATCTCTGAGCATAGCATTTTATCTGGGAGCTTGACCTTTGAAGCCTACAACTAAGGACTCTAAAAAAAATTTAAACAAACAAGGTTGGAAATAGGGTGTACAATATTTTCTCAAGCTACAAATAAATATTTTTACTGCACTAAAATTGATACGTACTGTAGACATGGAGTCAAAATAGGGATTTGTAGCTTGAGAAAATAATGTAGACACTATTTCCAAAAAAGTTTTATTTTTTTTTATAGTCCCTAGTTATAGGCTTGAAAAAAATCTTTGCATTTTGATTCAACTTGTTTCTGTACTTTTTGACAATTCCTATTCCCTTTCAATTAACAATTTTTTCTAATTTTGTGTTTGAATTTCATGCAAAGCTACTCAAGTGCTATCTACTCTAGCCATCCTTAATTTTGGAGTGATAAATTAGAGGGAAGGTAGCTGGTCAACAGCACACACCTCCAAGTCTTGGGATTCTTTAATCGAATACTTGAAATGACCATCATTCTTATAACACACCCAGAGCTTGGAGTGCTATTTTTTTCTGGTGAAAAAATATCCTTTTTTCTGTATACATAATAGCTATTCCTTGCTATTGTGTGCAAAAAGGTAAGTATGTAAGGAAAACATTAACTTTGCAGCAACAAGACATGGATCTTGGATCCACATTTCTGGATGCTAACAACCACACCTAGATTATTTTTTTAATGTATTTCTACAAGTTATAGATAGAGCTGGGTGATTAACTTGATTAATTGATATAATAATTATGTATGAGCATTTAAAGTTACGTAAAGTAATTGATTAATCAAAAATATGATTAAATCAATTATTAATTTCTTGAAAATAATCAACTAATTGAAATTAATGTTTCCGATTAATACTACTTTTGATTATTCCAGCTATTCAGTAATTGAAATTATGATTAATTCAATTAATGTTATGAAGATAGTCAACTAAATTGAAATTAGTAATTGAGATATTGCCATTATGATTTCTCATTATTATTTTCAATTAATTCAGGGTTGTTCAGTTTAATCGATTTGTGTCAAGATTCGTGATAATAATAAATCAATCGAAGTTAGTGTTTCTGATTATTAATCTTTCAGAAATGATGCTTACTTCTTTGCACCACTAAGA